CACTGATGCCCACATGATATTCTTCCTAGATCAGTTCCATTGAAACTTGTAGCAATGACAGAGTAAACTCAAAATCACAAGCAAAATAATTTTCCATTACAGACTTAAGTTTTTTTTAAACCTGCACATCATCCACCAGCAGATGACTTAAAACTGGCTACCTATTTTTGGGGGGCATATTTAATCATAAGAAAGAGAAATGTATCTTTTTTCCTTTGAATTGCACTTCAAATCCATGACTAGGACTAGAGGAGAAACTGTGCTAACTGACTGTACACCACCGTAACCACTTTATATGTGAAAAATAAAAATACACAGGAATCTCAGACTGAGGAATCAAAGCAGGTATCACAAGGGAAATAGAAATGTTGCACTAATTGAACTTGGTAGTTCAGACAGTTTGGGCTAAAACACTTGACTGGGGCAGAGTAGAGAAAACGGGTTGTGCTAAACATGATTCCTATATATCTGATACATACAATGAATGCCCAAAATAGGAATTATGTTAACATCCTTGCTATTGAATACCGGAAGCAAGCCTCCACCAGAGACCAACCCTGAATCTGTAACTAACACACACGCACCTTTATTACTGGAGTAGCTTACTTTAATCATATGACAATAATGGTCAAACATCAAGGTAACACCATAGAAATAGAACTTTCACGCAATACTGTATTCCACCAAGGATAAATCAGAACATATTTAAATATCTCACCCTTGGAACTACATGCTCAAGAAAGATTTCTCACTGAAAATAGATCTTCCTGCATTTTAATACATAGTAAGCTTTCCATACTTTTTCCTCCCAATTTTACAAATTAGGAATAAAGTTTTTTTTTTTTAAAATCAAGGATCTGAAATAATGATGGTTCGAAAACAGCAGGAAGGAGCAGAGAAAAATCCTAGGAATACACCAATCAAGACTTCATGTTACAAAGGTGACAAACAAAACTAAAACGTTCTGTATTTGAATGTATGTAGCATTTATAATGTAAAAAAATTGATAGCACACATTGAAGTAAATAAATACAATCTGACAGCTCTGGCTTTAGGATGACTTAGATTGGGTCCTGAATATTGAAGGGCATATGATACTAAAGAAAAATAGGAAGCTAAGTAAAGGTGCAGGGGTATTGCTGTTAACCAAGAATAATTATTCCATTTGTGCAACAGTTAAAGAAGACTTCATTCAGGAGATTAGGATGTAGAATCAGTTTGGGTAGAGATGAAGAATAGAAGGATTGGGGTTAGTGGTCTACAGGCCCCCTAACAGTACCAACAATGTGGGACAGGCTATACAATAAGATATACAAGGTACGTGTAACACAGGGTTATAATCATGGATGGTTTCAATCTACATATAAACTGGAAGAATAGAATTAGCATTAGCTTAGATGAGGATTTTATTAAAAGTCTTGGAGATAGTTCCAAAATTCTGATGATCTAAGAAATTAACCAATGAGCAATGTATATTACCTGTAATATTGTGTAATATGATATGATGAATTATTGACTTCAGAGTTACATACCCCTCAGTAGCAGTAACCAAAATACGACTGAATTTTTAGATCAAATTTGAAAAAGGGAAAAACAGTGAGCCCAAGACTAATTTTTAAACATAAGAGTAACTTTGTGGGCATCGAAGCTAATCTATCATACGAACCTAGGGGATTAATCAGACTTCATTTCAGAAAACTCAGATCAAGTATATTCTGGCTATAGAGCAAAACTCTAAAGGGATAATCATTTTGCAAGTTTTGGGGACATTTGTGGTTAGGGTCTTCGAAATTTAATTCACTTCAATATTTGTTTGAAAAATAAAAAGACCAAGATCATTGTACAGAATGCAAGAGTGGAGAAAATATTAATCATGAGTTGACATCAAGATTGTTAAACTGCAGACCAAAGAGATGACTGAAAGAATGTGAAGTGCACCATAACAGAAGAGTCTAGGCAAGGCTACAACAGATCAGTCTTGGACATGAAATGATTTTCAAACAACCTGTGGATAATACATCGCACTAAGTTGCACAGAAGTATATGGAAGTTTCCAGCAATACATAACCTGGCTCAGTTATGGTTGTCAAAAAAAATGTCTTGGGTGGGGCACAGTAGCCAAGATTGTGAAATACACAAGCTCTTCAATTAAATATTTGCACATGCTCCATCTATCAAATTGCCTTCCCAATTAGTTCTACAGAAGGGGCACAACAACTAAGATTCACTTGAGACCAACAAAATCATTGCTGAGCTAACACATCCTTCAGTAACATCAGCTGTCATTTGTATCAAATTGAATACATTTATAAGTCCTTTTGCCATTTAGAGGCAAAAGAAAACAGATACAACAGCCGTCAGTTGAAGACTTAAAATTTTTAACAGTTAGCAAGGCATTTATAGGCAATTTTTTTTGTGGCAAATAAACAAACCATCAATAACTCATTCCAAAGGCTTTATATTTTGTCATAAAGCAGATTAACAGTTTAGCCTTGGTTGCAGATTACAGGAACCAGGATAAGAAATCGAGCAAGAAATATTGAACAAGCTTGTATGGCAATTAACTAATTTACTTGAGGCAAATATCTGATCACGGTCCAAAACTAAATCCTGGCGCTTGAAGTGAAAAATAGTTTTCTAAAAAAAAGTGACATGATGAACAACTCCATTAAACATGTTTCACTTCATTCATTGGTTAACACCTGTTTTAGAAGTGAAAAATTACTAAAATCTAATATTCAAACTATTAAATTACATACAAACAAAATACCACAAATTGTTTTGTTTTTACCTTATAAATACAGACATTGGTTTTGGGAAGTCAGATGGTGAGTCACAAAGACTTCAGAGCCTGTTCTCGTAACCACAGTCTTTATATGGCTGGTTCAATTCAGTTCCGGGTAAGCGCCCACCAGGATGGGAAATTCAGCCACTATTGAATGTCATTACACTATCTAATTATATTATAATTACCATATGATAGAGGGAATGTCATTAATGATGCAACTGAAAATGATTAGACCTAGAGAAATATTCCGAGGATGTCTTGCAACAATGTCCTGGCACTGAGAAAATGGGCCTCCATCAACCACAGCCATCTCTCTTTGTGCTCATATGAAATCAACCTGTGGAGAAACTCTCCCCGCCCCTTGATTCCCATGCTAGGGCTCCATGTCAAACTGTCAAACGCCACATTGATATCAGGGCAGTTACTCTCAATTCAGGAATTCTTCTCTCTTGACCACATTTACTCCAAGGCACAATGAGGCTTGGAGGTAAGCGGTCCTGATGGAATTCAAATTGAGCCGAAGTGAGCAGGTTATTGCTGAGTAACCACAAATAGTAAGATTTCAGATGAGAATAGGGTTCCGATTTCTGTGAAGATCTCCACTGGCAAACGGTTGTCACTCAATCACCCAGACTCAAAAAATAGTCTGCACAGTTAAACACGATGAGCTGATGAGAGGCCAGCTCACAGTAATCAGTGTTTACAGGAGAGGACGTTAGAAAACTATGGAAAGAAAACTGTTTGAGTTACCGCATCTGAAGTGAAGGAAACCACAAAATTATCATTATGAACATCAATATCAATAGTTTCTAATCAAACATCAAACTAGTGCCCAGATGAGTGCACTGCCCTTAAAATGGGGAGTAGATTCTTGACTTCTGACAGCATTCTTACAGTAAAGATGCCAGATTCTACTTCATTGAAAGTAGATAGCCAACTCAAGCAAATTTGTTGATAGTGGAAATCTGAAACAGAAATAAAAGTTGCTTAAAATATTCAGCAGGCCAACCTCTATCTCTTTGACAAAGCTTTTGGTCATCTGCTCTAATGGAAACTCTACACAGACTGAGTTGTATTGCTATACTGCACAAACTACAATTCACCACACACCACTTCTCAGTAGAATCGCAGAAAAAAAAGGTCATCTTGTGGTTTGACTAGTTCTTAGCTACTTGTTTCAGAGTATAAGACCTCTGTAACTGTCTCCAGTCAAGTTATAATGACCAAGAGTACAATTATCAAAATTGCATGCTGCCTTTCCACATAATTTTGTAGGAGAGATATAGCAATGAGACCTGAAACCACCTTCAGCACAGAATATTGCAGCAGGAGGGCAGGACAAGGAATACTTAACCCAATGCAAGTTCAGATATTGTTAATGCCATAACAGTTTCCCTATTATCAGCCAGATTACAATGTAATTGGAAAAAAAAAAGTTTAAAAGGTTACATGGCAGGAGGGAAATGCAACACAGACCGCTTGTACTGGAAACCTTGCTCTACATTATGGAAGTCTACAAATATGACCCATTGCCACAGAAAACAACCACTTCAGCCATAAATCTTTAAAAAAAAAGCCATGACACCATCTTCACAAGTGGAATCCTAAGTCTTTTTTCAAGTCATGAAAAACTGGCGTCAGAAGTACTCAGTAAACTGACAAGACTGTGAGCTAAAATGGATAATTATGAAGCAAATATCAACTGAAGTATTTTTCTCCAAAAATATTCAAGACATTGCCTAAATACACATTATTAGGTTGTTCTAATACATCTCATATCTACGTGGTTACACGTATACAAGCATAACATTTAATTAGGCTCCTGCTTTAGTCTGAATTGAGTATGTATTCCTCCTGTAGTTTGTTGACAGTGGCTTCATTGCTCAACATCGACAGGGCAAGGGGAAAGAGAGGCGGGGCTAAGGAAAAGGGAGTGGGAGTAGGGGCAGCAGACAGGAGCCTAGGAGTTAATCGCGGCGGATACGGGGCAGGGTTCGGGTGAGGGTTGTTGTTGGGGCTCGGAGTTGAGGAGGAAACAAGGGGCTATTGAGGGCGGGGGCCGGGAACAGGGTATGTTGAGATGGGTTTGGAGCCTAGGGTGACCAGTCACCTTCGGTGTGGCTGCATCTATTGGTCTTGGTCTTGGTCTTGGTCCCGGTCCCGGTCCCGGTCCCGGTCCCAACCCTAACCCTCGCTCCCCCCAGGGACTCACCTTCTCCCGCTGGTCCCAGCTGTATTGCTTGGGCTCCTCCTCGGCATCAGGTTCCTTCTTCTTTTTCTTCTTCTTCTCTTGGTCTTTCTCCTTAGATTTCCGGGAAAACAGGCAACCCATTTTGCCCTCTACCTCTAACGCTCCCTGTCCCTCGGTCCCGGCCCCTGACAACCGCTTCCCCTCGCCCTGCCGACCAAACCCACCAATCAGAACGCGGGACCGCTGCGTGTTTGCCAATCACCACACGGCGCCTCTGTAGATTCGCCAATCAGAGCGCGGGGATGCTCCATTTCCACCAATTAGAGCGCGGGGGGGCTGCACAGTTTCCGCCAATCACAACGAGGGCCTGCTCCGTCTCTACCAATCAGATCGCAGGTAAACTTGGGGAATTACAGCGTGGAGTAGCTCGGCCTCCGCCTATCACAGAGCGAGTTGACTTTTTGTTGCTCCAATCACTTGCAGGAATCCTATTACTGATCAATCAGATCACAGAGGTTCTGGTCTCCGCCAATCAGAATGACCTTGACGTTCAATCAATCCTCGTGGGTATTTGAGAGTGGTGACTGTCACGGACTCCGGCTGCGGACCGTGCCTATCTCAAAGGTAGATTTAATTCTAGTGATAACCATCACCAGGTGTATTTCTTCTCAGTTCCTAACCAGGCCAATAGGAACTGCCTTCGAACAAAGACATCAATCTCCAGGCTGACCAATGAAAAACGCCGTTTAACAGCCTTCCCGCTGATTTAACCAATCGCTGCCAAGGATCCAACAAGCATTTGGCCAATCAGGTAAAAACTAACTCCAGAAGAATCACCAATCGCAGTTTAGAGGGAAGGGACCAATCAAGATGAGAAATCAATATTCACCAATCATGGTACAGAAAACAGCACAGGAGACACAGGCCTGCTGTGTTCATCCAGCCCTGCACCTTGTTGTCACAGTACCAATATTCTTCACTCACCGTATAGAGGATAGGAACCAATCAGAGACAAGATATCAAAATTCTCCAATCATGGTACAGAAGGCAAAGACCAGTCACAGGCAAGGTATCAATATTCCCCAATTGCAGTACTGAAAACAGGAACCAATCAGAAGCAAGTTGTCAATAATCACCAATCACAATAAAGAGGTAAGGACCAATCAGAGACAAAATATCAATATTCTCCAATCAAAGTACAGAAAGCAGGGACCTATGAGAGACAAAATATTAATATTCGACAAACACAGAATAGAATATAGGCACCTACCATCACTAACAACCCTTCAGCTCTTTCCACCAAATTAAGCTTTATAAAACTTAAATTTTAATACAACATGCTGTACTGTATAATAGAATTGCATATCATAACTTAATCTCATAAATTTCTTTTAGTTTTATTTAATCTTTTTGCTCTTTAGAAATATTTATGTTTACTTTTGACTCTCATTTAATCGGTAATTGTAATGAAAATGACACTTGCTATTCTTATGAACTGTAAGGCAAGTTTGAGAATGTAATTAACAATGTGGGATTATCCCATACATAATAAATCCTAATCTCTATAAGAGACCATAGAACATAGGAGTATAAGTAGATCTTTTAATGAGATCATGGCTGACCTAAAAACCCACAAGTCCACTATCCTGCCTTTTCCCCATAACTCTTGATTTCCTTACTGGCCTATTTCAGCCTTTGCTATCTTAATGATCCAGCTTTTCCAGCTCTCTGCAGTGAAGAATTCCACAAATTCATTACTCCTTGGGAAGAAATTCCTCATCATCTCTGTCTTTAATGGACAAACCCTCACTCTGAGATTATTCCCTCTGGTTCTAAACTTTCCCACAAGGGGAAGCCACCATTGCTCACCTACACCGCCAAGCCCCCAAACAATCATATATGTTTCAATAGGTCACCTCAAGTTCTTCTACATTTAATGAATACAGGCCAACTTACTCAACCTCTCATCATCAGAAAATCCATCCATATCATGACCCACTTAGTGAATCTTCTCTGGACTGCCAGCAATATTAGTATATCTTTTATTAGATAAGGAGACCAAAACTGTTCACATTTTCCATATCAGTATTTTTTCTTGTTTTTGTTCAATTTCTTGTCTATTTCTTGTCCAAGCTTTTTTTAAAGTTATTTTTAATCAACCTTTTCAGACATGTTATGACCCATTTTCATTGGCAGGTGAGATCTGAACCCAGATCTTCTGGCCAGATGTAGACACACTGTACTGTATCATAAGAGCCATTAAAAGGTAATGTGGTCTTCTTCTCTCATTAGCTGTGGTCGTCCATTCACTAGCCCCAAACACAATGAGCTGAATTTTACAGGATACCATGGTCCCCAACGAACTAGCTAAAAGTCATTAGTGAGCCTGCCACCATACTGACAACTGCACCTCAGCAATTCTACAGTGGGAGCTGTGTTAATTCCCCTATCACAGGAGTTCTGCTCCTATCTCAGGTACATTTTAACACTTGTAAAGGGTCCCAGGAGCAGAGGGATATGTGTGTAATACAGATTGAGAGTGCAGCTGATAAAGCATTCAATATTCCGGGACAAAAGGGTTATGGTTAAGGGTTATAGTGAGCAGGCGGGTAAGTGGAGCTGAGTCTCAAAAAGATCAGCAATAATCTTATTAAATGACGGGGCAGGCTCGAGGGGCCAGATGGCCTACTCCTGCTCCTAGTTCTTATGTTCTAAAAACAGAAAGTGCTGGAGAAAATCAGCAGGTCTGGCAGCATCTGTGGAGAGAGAAACAGACTTAAAGTTTCAAGTCTTAATTATTCAATTTTATTAATAGGAGCACAGGGCACAAGAGCAATGAAATTATGTTGAACTTTATATAGGACACTTGGTCAGCCCCAGTTGGAGTAATGCATCCAGTTCTGAGCACCACCCTTTAGGATGGATATGAGAGCATTGAAGAGAGTGCAGAACGGATTCACATGAAGAGATCCAGGGTGAGGAACTTCAGCTAGGAAGACAGATTTAAAAAATTAGGGCTGTTTTCGTTGGAGAAAAGAAGGCTAAGAGATCTGATTTAAGTATTCAAAATTATGATGGGTCTGGACAGAGTAGATAAGGAGAAACTATTTTCACGTGTGAATCAGGGGACACAGTTTTAAAGTTATTGGCAAGAAGAAGCAAAGTGATACGCCAATAAACCTTATCATGCAGCGAGGTCTGGAATGCGGTGCCTGAGACTTCAAATGAAATATTCGAAAAATAATTTGACTGTTATCTGAAAAGGAAAAATGTGGAGTATTGTGGACAGAAGGCTGGAGAATCACACTCTAAGTAAATTTCTCAATCAGACAGCTGGTGCAGATATGATTAACTGAATGACCTCCTTCAGCGCAGTAACAATTCTGTGATTCTGTACAGATTAGCCAGCGGTTGTATAGTCCTAGCAACACCAAGTGAGAGTGATGGTCTACATGTAGTCCCAACAAAGAGGAACCAGGAACCAGCAAACGGGTGTTGAGCATCGAATGACAGACCGAACAAAGAGGATAAAGAGAAGGGGTGTTGGGGGTAATGAGAGTGAACCTGCGGGGAAATGCCTCCAATCCTCCCAGAGGGGCTGCAAATCTGTTCCGCTCTCCTCTTCCCTGACAACTTACACAACTTACACAACTAAATCTAAGGGGCTACCTGCTTGGGTGAGAGGGTAAAATAGTGGTAGACATGGAATGAGACCCTTAAGTGACCATTAATTCACCATTCGAGGAACTCAATAGGCCCAAGGACAGGTGAAGTATCCTTCACTTCTACCATTCCTCTGTTTATATTTTGGACAGCTCCTGATAGGTGGTGGGCTGACACCCATTAGAATTTAAGAGTTAGCCCCTACCTGCTGGGAAGTGTAGATTCTAACACTGGTGTACTTAAAATGTCTCCTGCCCTCTACCTAAATCTCTTGCATTAAACCTTAACTTCCTCATTGAAGCCCCTCATTTACCAGGTACCCTATCCTATTAGACACCTTTATGTGATGCTTGAACAAAAAAAAACCCACAATTTTTGTAGTCTTTCTGTGCAATTGTACCGCTATGAAGTTGCACTGTCAACCCACTCTAATGTTTCAATATCCTTTCTATTGTGGACCCAAAGCTGCACACACTACTCCAACTGTTCCCTTACTAAGATTACATCTTGACTTTTAACTTCAGTATCTCTTCTTACGAATCTCGATAATTTACTCATAGCTTCATCTAATTGAAGTGCACTGTTCAAATATTGTGAAGGTGAATCCTAAAATTTTGCTTGCTGTTTCCCATCACTGAAGGTATCTCCATTTATGGGTGAGTTCAATAACTTTTAATAGAATGTCCATCTTGCACTCAATGATGGAGCATTCTTTCTTCTCCACAACATCCCATCCTTGACGCTAAGAATCTTTTTTTTTAAGTCCAGGATTTGTCTGAAAATTTGGAAACCCCATTCTCTTGAGTTATACTTTTGTTTTTATTTTGCATTACTTCTTTTCCCTTTACTCCTCCAAGACAGATAAACGTTGGGTGGTGAGCCTGTACAATTCTCTGTCACAGAAAGCAATTGAGACGAAAACGTTGAATGTTTTCAAGAAGTAACTCGACATCATTCTTAGAACTAAAGGAATTAAGGATAGAAGGAGAAAGGGGAAAGGGTACTGAATTGGATAATCAGCCACTATCATAGTGAATGGAAGAGCAAGCTTGAAGGGGCAAATAGCCTACTTCTGCTCCAATTTTCTTTGTTCTAAGGCCTGTCTCTTTCTCTTCCCCACACTCAGTACCCTGCCTTTACAATTCCCTTCACAGTTCTTCAATATTCCTCACGTTACCTTCTCTGTTGTTTTTGTTCCAGGCTCATTTCCCTCTTAGGTAAGGCTATGGACCAAGTGCAGGTAAATGGGTTGAATGCAGTTTGGTATTCGTAGGTTGGCATAGACATGGTGGGCCGAAGGACTTGTTTCTATGCTGTATGACTCTATGGCTACAGGTTCCCTCTGTGCATCCTCCAAAGTATTCATTAAGGCAAGTGGTGGCAGCAACCCTTGATTGTCTACCTTCCTGTGTAATGTAAGCGCTGAGGGTCAATTTTGCCAACCTCTTTCCTGTCCAACACACAGCTCCCACCACTGGCCCTATTGACTCTGCTGTCATCAGCCCGCAATGTATCTCCCTACAGGATATCCATTCACATTTAAAAAAGGTCTTTGTTCTCC